CGCTCTGCCATTCTTTAAAGGCATTTTTCTTTTCTCTCAAAACTTCTCTAATACTTTCACTCCACCACCACCCATCCTTATCTATCATACGCTTCCCTTTTGTTTCTCCTAACACCTTCCTTGCCACACTTCGGATACAATCAGCCATTTCCTTCCAGCACTCATTCACACTCATTCCTTCCATATCACCCATCTCTATCATCTTGTTTACAACTAGCTCTCTAAATTCACTTGCATACTCCTCCTTATGCAACAAATGCCACTTTATTTTGGGTGGGGGACGATCCTTATGTTTGTTGAGGCGAACAGTTAAGCAGATGTCAGCCAGCAGAATTCGGTGCTGGGATACTAAGTCTTCACCTGGAAGCACTTTGCAGTTTTTTACACTCTTGATTTGGTTCCGTCTTATCAGAAGATAGTCGATCTGTGTCGCGTGGTGGCCACTTTTATAAGTAACAAGATGCTGATCTCGTTTTTGGAACCACGTGTTTACTACAGCCAGGTCGAAAGCACATGCTGCTTGCAGAAGAACTTCCCCCTCACGGTTCCGCGCTCCGTACCCCCATCCACCGTGTACTCTTTCATACCCGTCATTCACTCTCCCTACATGTCCATTAAAATCTCCTCCCATATAAACATCCTCACTCTCAGGTATTCCCATCATCATACAATCAAATTCCTCCCAAAACTTCTCTTTCACACTCTCTTCACAGCCTGTTTGCGGAGCATACACACTTACAACATTCACTACTTTGTTTTCAATCATTAATTTAACAACTATCATTCTGTCATTTACTCTTTTCACATCTGTCACTCGTTCTTTCATTCCACTATCTAACACAACTCCTACTCCATTTCGCTTCCCATCACTTCCACAATAATAAAACTTGTATCCTTCCCCAATCTCTCTTGCTTTATTGCCCTTCCATTTTGTTTGCTGCAAACAGGCAACATTCACTCTTCGTCGTTTCAAAACATCTGCTAACTCTCTTCCTCTTCCAGTCATCGTACCTACATTCCAGCTTGCAAACCTCACTCTGACATTCTTCTCTCTCCGGGCTCGCCTCTTACGTCGCACCCGCTCCGTAAGGTGCGACAACCCTTGCCCACTTCCCACAGGAGCCGGGTGCTGCCCCTGCGCGTCGCCTGCGGGGTACGCCCTAGCCCTGTCATATATCCCACAACTCGTAATATTCATAGGTTTACTGCATGGGATTTGGCAAAAGTTTTACAGTCGGCCGCCTGCCTGACACCAACCCTCTTTGGGTATGCTATTGTTGGTAGAGGAAGCTACCATTTTGGGAAAAGGAAAAAGAAGGTTGGGGTAGGAGCGCAGGTGTAAGGATACTGTTATCTCGGCAGGAAAGGTATGAGAATAACAGTAGCTCGGGGAGCCGGGGTCGCGTACCCGTATTCCATAACAGGATCACCGGAAAGGTAGACCAGCATGAAAACCCCCTGACTACCTTTTAGGAAACACCATATTTGGGCAAATTGATCGAAAATATACTTGTGTATCTTCGTCATCGAATAATGAGAAGGGAAGATATTTTTTAACAATCTAATCAACTGTAGCTGTCTAGATGTTGTCACTGCTATTTTCAGACTGAAATAAAACAGTAGGTAAATCATGTGTCTCGCCGATTATAAAAACAAATGAAAATATGAGTGAATTATAAATACATATTTAACACTGTAATCTATATATATATATACTGAACTATAAAACATACAAACTTGAAGTTTGTAAGGTAGGTTCCTTTTATGGCATAGAGATCAGTTAAGAAACGGTTTTGAGAAAATCTATCCCTAAGGGAGTTAAATGGGAGTTTGAAGTTTGTATGAAAGTCCTACGTTTTTGAAGTTAGAGACACGAAAATCGGCATTAAAGTTATAAGTTTTCAATAATTAAATCCTGAATAAGCCTAATCCTAAGGGGGTGAAATTGGGGTAAAATGGTTACACATAAGTCCTATATTTTTAAAGTATAGATATGAATATCGACATTTACTTTATTAGTTTTAAATAATAAATACTTGCATAGTTAAGCTTTACCTATATAGCCTCTTTATACTTAGGTAAGACTTTTGCAGCGAGAAAATTTCAAAATTAAATTATTGTATTGTCTTCGATTCTAGATACGAGTGCAAATTTTCAAGTGGATGAAAATTACACAAAAAGATTCAATTACATAGATAGATGCACAAATAAAAGCGAGTTTAAAACCAGGTAGGTAAGTACTGGACAACTGAGGAGGTGAGCGTACTCGTAAACAAGCTTGCCCTCGCCCTTCTTAACCAATGGCGTGGAAACTGTTCACGAGTTGATAAGGCCTCGGAACTAATCAGGAGATAAAGTAAACACAGCGGAGTTACAATGATTCTTTTACTGTCTACAATATAGGTGACCTAGTTTGGCCTCCTGTGTGCCACAACTATATTTTTTATTATGTGCGAGCATCTATGCAGGTCTAGGGAAAAAGACCAGTATCACTGCGACCTATAAGATCTATTGTGATCGCTGCTATGGCTATAGTTCACTGCTAAGCCCTATGTCTTCAATGAATAGGAGTTGCTTAGCTGTGAGCAATTTCACTTCCTCTGAGCAGACTTACATAGTTTCCCAGATGAGTGTTAGGTTTGCGCACGCGATCAGTTAGGATGTGCAAAGGCTCCACAACTAATTTTTTCTTCACAATTTCGTATTTATTTATCTTTTATTCAAAACCCTTCAACTAGGGGTAGGTGAGATTAGATAACCGGATATCCTTTTTACAGGAAACAAGGTATACTTCATACTACATCCTAGTCCTCAGGGATGACAACGCATTTTGAAATTGTGATAAAATCCGTAAAATTTTTAAAGACAAAATTTTAGCTAATTAATTTTTAACATCCCTAGCATAGTACGTGAACATTTTTACTAGAAAATATGCATTATATCTTAGTCCTCAGGGGTGAAAACGCATCTGCATTTTGATTCTTAACCGAGGATAGATGTAGGTACTTAGATGTTTATGGGATATGAGCCTCAGCAACCACTTACACTATCACTACAGAATAAATAATAGTACTACTACGTAGTACTATTATTTATTCTGTGGTACTACATACAGAAGTTGCAGTCCTTTGATGTTGACTGCTTACCGACGTTTAATAGCCTACATTATTATTATTAATTAGGTAGAGAAATCGCGCCCGCAAGGTAAATAGAACTTTATCGCTGCGCGCGAGTGTCCATATTACTTTGCATCTTTTCCCCTTCCTAAGTCACGGCGGACTTTCCTTGGTTACTAAGGGATGTCAATAAACAGTAAAAAAATACATTGCGAAATTTTAATTGAGTTACTTAGGTGAAGTACCTATTCTGACTGTGATCTACTGACCATATTTTCGCACCTATGTGAGTTCTGCGATGCCGAACGCATGCAACTTGCAAGACCATTCGTCTGGAATCGCGATCCTTGGCTCGGAAGCAACAACAAATAAACCTCAAATACGATTCCTAACAGAGATGTGACACAAAATACTGAAATTTAAACTTTGTTCACTAACGAGATTTTTAACTAAGTTTAAATTTCAGTATTTTGTGTTATTATAACTTAAAATATTTTAATTACAAAAGACAAGTATAGGTATGTAACTATATGTATATGGATAGTGAAGTAAATTTCAACTAAGTTTTGTAATAAAGTACGTAGGTTTTACTTCTGTACATAAATTATTACTTCGTCTTTGATATAAGTACCTAAACATTAAATAAGTTCACCTTTCGTAACTTCCTACTAATATCCGTCGGTAACTTAAAGAATGATATATCCATTGATTTATAATATATCTGAAACCTTTTGTTGATCATTTAGCATCTATCCACGCAACAGGAAGAAACAACATAATAATATACAATATGTAACGTAATTAACGCACACCCTCAGACACCCCAATTAGTATATTATGTTATAATCATAATACATACAATGAATTTTTAGTTCAACATTTTTATACACTGATTATTATTTATTAAATTAGTTATATTAATTCCGGAAGAATGTTGTGGTCACAGTACAAGTCCACGAAAGTAAAGACTTTAACATGTTTGAAATAAAGTTCATTTTTCTTTATTTTTATTGAATGATAGAATTAGTAATAATACAAATAAAACTGCACTCTTAAAAGTCTTTTGCCTTAAGTTACGGTCCATTTTAGTTTGTTTTGACTGTACAGATTTAGTATGACTGTGATTTACGTAGTTTTAATTATTTTTGGGATAAAAAAATTACCTATATTAAAAATGATAGAAATCGATTCAGTAAACGATTCTGAACTTTCTCAAATTGCGTTAATTATGTTACGTGTTGTATATAATTTTTAAATTACACCAATACTTTTTCAACTATTTTATCCTACAATTAAATATACTAAACACTAAACAAAAACTATTTCAACAAATATTTACAAAAAACTATTTACGTAAACAGCGTTAATAGATATTTTTGTATGGCCTACAAATAATTATCCCGGGTCTGGATGTTTGCAATTGTGAAATTTATCTTTTTAAACTGCCTCCACGATACAGGAAAAAATTCTAGTATGGGAAAACGTTGTTAATTAAAAAAAAAGAAAAAGAAAAGTCCTCACATGTGACAAATCATCTGCGTTTTGATTTTTAATCGTGGACATATGTAGCTGTCTTCGAATCTCACTATTCATTTAGGTACCCTCATATAGACCGGCTGCTCGATTATGAGCTTTACTTGTATATAAAAAAAAACCTTATCCATTCAGTTATTTTTATGCCTAGTAAGTTGTGTAGCTTTCATATTTACTTAGATGTAAATTAAATATAAGTGACCCCAAAATATCTCCTTGCAGTACTTACACGAAGTGGGCCACAGAGTCTGCGTTACCCAACCTCGAGTGACAGCAGCCGTATCTCTGGCAGTCCGAGTTGCCCAGGAGAGAGGGGAGGAGCCTGGACAGTGTGTTGGATATGCTGCTTCGATGACGTCAGCGAGGGGACCTGATACGGGGATAGTGGTGAGCCTTAGCAACATAGTTCTTCCTAGAATTTCCCTCTAATTATATTACCATGATCATTACAGCCTATAAAAGTCCACAACTAAACATAGATCCGCACATCGATTGCCTCATAAGGGGGATTATGCAATAGTTGCCACGCTTGGCAAACGGGTTGGGAGCTGCAGTTTTTTGTTTTTATTCTGCAGACCATCTCCTGGGTCAGTTTCGCTCTGTTGCCTCTTGCGGCTCCCACGGGAAGATATGAGATAGTGGTTATTTTTACATCGCAACTAGACGATGAATATTCCTAATTTGAATATAAGGCTTCGTTACCTGGTGATGGCCTTCAAGTCCTTAGAAAGTAGAAATTAAATTGATTGAAATTAAATATTGTTTTTGTCTTAGAATACATAATGCCAAATGAATTGTTATGTTTAACTATGAACTTCAAAAACTAAATTTTTTTGTAGATGTATATTACAAACGAGCTCTTAATTTAGAGTTGATGCTGTGGGCCAAGGATAATCCATCTATCTATGTAGCAATAAAGTTTAATTTACTGTTTATGGCCTTCGGCTACACGTTTAATCTTACTTGCACAAATTCTAATTTGCACAAGCAAGTATATACGTTAGGCCGGCAAGACGGTATACCGTGCAAATGACTTGCACAAATTCTTAATTTGCTCAAACTAAGAGCCGGCGTGGTACCACAACCTCACAGAAGACCGGCGTGAAGTAGAAGCTTTGCTTCTTCATTTCGTCTGGTGAGTGCGGGTGGCCGGAGGCCCAATCATCCCCCCTTAACATGGTAGCGGAGGTAAATAGAACACTACCCCAGGTATAGTGTTCTATTTAACTTCACCGTTGCTGGATTTTCTATTTAGCACCCCCGGTGATGGATAATCCCTCGCTGAGCATCCACGCCCAAGCTACTCTACTCTTCCTGAGCATGGGTGCTCACGCTGCCCCGCGTATTCTGAAGGGGTGAAATTCCGCTCGAGACTAAACCTGCTCGAGGCAAACGGAGCAATAAAACAAAGGTGTCCTCTGCCACGCTATCCGCGAATTTCTGCAACATAAGGTGACTTCAATCAAATCTTCACGTCGTCCACTACCATCTGTAAAAGGCGAAGCGAGACTTGCTCTTTCTAACCGAGACACAGATGTCCTCTCCGGCTGATACTTCGTATCTCTCCTACCCGGGGTACAAATCCACACTCCTTTGTGCCACGGACTGGAGTTTGCGTGTACGTCAGAGAGGACGTTTTTTTAATGGAATAAGTGTGACAAACGAGCACACAGTCAACCTGATGGTAAGTGGATGCTGTGGCACTTAGACATCTACATTTATCCTCGATTAAGAATCAAAATACAGATGCGTTGTCACCCGTGAGGACTAAGATGGAATGCCTCGTTTCCAGTAAAAAAGGGTCTCCAGTTCTCTACACACACCATACGAAACACAGTAGTATTAAGCTGCTATTTTACGCTAGTATTCTGTGAGAGCGTGGTCCTTCCCCGGTTGAGCAGACCCATTCGTGCTACAGCCATAATATAGCTGCAGGGTGGCTTAGTCGCTCCTGCAAAATCCCATTACGCCATACGCAAGAGTCTTAAAAAGAAGTATAATTCCGCCTCTAGGTCCTTTAAAAGTGGCATTGGAAATGCGTACATTCTAGTCTCTCGCCAAGGCTGTCCAAGGGAACTTCTGTCAGCCATCTCTCGTATCTCTGCACAGGGAGGACGACTCACTGGCCCATGACTTGAAGGACAAAGCCGGTCTGCTGGTCTCTTTCTTTAAGTTTAACTCGACTCTCGATGACGGGGGGAACACACCGCCAACCATCCCGCCGTGTGAGTGCTCCATGCGTCTGTATGTGCGTGTGTGTGTGTGTGTGTGTGTGCGTGTGTGTGTGTATGCTTGGGTGGATTGTGTTTGTGTGGCGTGTCGTGTTTGTGAGTGTGCGCGTGTGTGTGTGGGTATTATATGGAATAAGGGTGACAAACGAGCACACAGTCCACCTGATGGTAAGTGTATGCTGTGGCCCATAGACATTAAAATTTATCCTCGATTAAGAATCAAAACGCAGATGCATGGTCACACCTGAGGACTAAGATGGAATGTCTTTTTTCCAATAAAAATGGGTCTCCGGATCTCTACACTCACCATACGAAACACAGCAATATTAAGCTGCTATTTTACGCTGGTTTTTTGTGAGAGCGTGGTCATACGCCGGGCGAGCCGACCCATTCGAGCTACAACCATAATAAAGCTGCAACGTAGCTCTACCACGTATGGAAAAGTTTATCCCCCGTAAGGATTCTCTTGTTCTAGCTTATACAATCTTGTTCCAGTTCATGACGGAGGGAGTGCTGCTCCGGGAGATGTTCGCGTCACCCCTTCTGATGCAGTACAGCTGCATTGTGCTGGATGAGGTGAGAACATAAATTTAATATAATGTTGTATTGATCCATCCATTACAGCCTATAAAACTTCACTGCTGAAATACGACTTACCCCATAGCTTCATAGGGTGAGATTAGCTATAGTTGCCACGTTGACCAAACGAAGTTTAATAAAACAATAATTAAATTCTAAGGTCAGTAATTAGGAAAATAAAACATTACTTGACTCTGCGATTTAACACCGCGTCCATAAGTGAATGAGGTAGTACTCGACTACCTGGCTCTGTAAGCATTTGTATGACGTGAGTCGAATGAAATATTCTCTCTCTGTGACTTGGAAACATATTGTATGGTGGTGGTATTACCTATCACTTATTTGCCACTACACAGTACGAAAACTAGTAAGTGTCTTACTGACTTCAAAAAAAGACGAGGTTCTCAATTGCGATTTTTCCGTAGTGTATCACATACTGTCTATCTAGGTGGTAAGAGTCTTTTTCTGTCCGGTAAGTATCACCATCTTACTTATTTCTGCCACAAAAATACAATGCGTGCACTCCTGTGTTCAGGACTAAATGGTATACATAGTCAGTTTTACAGTCTGTAGTGTATGTAGATTAATTATTTAGTAGAAAAAATTATTATATATTTTTTTATGTATATTATATATGACGGGCATAACTCCGTCATATACGGATTGGAAAATTCTTTTTTTTTTCATCGAAAGAGGTTTATTTCGAAATGTGCCTATTTAAATTTCGTAAACATCTAATGATGATTTTCGGAGACAGACAACGGAACTTCTTGAATAAACACCAGCAAATCAACCGCGATTGCTGCTATCGCATATTGCATATTTTTTTCACAATCACACAACATAACATCACGCCTGTACCCTCTAAAGGGGTACGCAGATGTGTTCAATATACTACGGTACATCCTCATTTCTGTCAAAGTTGTTATATTGAAGTCGGTTGTACAATTTTTTATAATTTTGTCATTTGTTCATTTTTCAGGTGCACGAGAGAACTCAAATGACAGATGTGCTGATGGGTTTATTAAAAAAAATCGCGAAAGTGAGTAACATCTGGTTTCTCTGGTAGTGTATATGAGAATTCATCACAATGCTGCTCGGCCCAGGTCTAAATATTATATGTCTGGCGCAAGCTATACATTATAGCGCCATCTACTGGAAGCTAAGACCGTATGCCATAAGCTTTGTCTCGCATTTCCCATAGTCATCTCTTCGACACTCACGGGATAAAATGGGATGATGGTGCCGCTAGCATATGGTTATCTAAAAATCTTCTAAGCAAATAAAACTTATTTTTACGGATTTGGTCGCGTTTTTTTAACTTATTTTACACTAGAAATCCGCCCCAGCTTCGCCTGTCTCTATTAATGTAGCGTTATTTGGATTTAAGCTGATGAAAGACCGTGTTTTATCAATTTTTCATTTGTATAGAAAATGTCCTCAAGTTTTTGGATAAAATATAGTCTAGATCGACCAAGCCGTGGTAGCTCAGATGGTTAGCGCTCGCTGTAAATTTCACAGTACGCGAGCAAACTGGGTTCGATCCCCGCCGGCACCAATGAAATTGTTAATTGCAATTTTAAGTGTTGATTTACCACGTACTCGGCGGTGAAGGAAAATACCATGAGGAAACCTGCATGTCATAGAAATAAGAAAAAAAAATATTTCGAAGACATTTGTGAAGTGCGCCAACACGCATTGGGGTAGCGCGACGGACACTTCCTTGCCCTAAAACCCTCTCAGTAATGAGCGGAGGCCTGTGCCCAGTAGTGGGACGTATATAGGCTGTAACTTTACTTTACTTTTATAGTCTAGATCCCTCCTGGCATTGCTCTCTATCTGTTAGTTAAGTTTTATCACAATATTTTCAGGCTTTCCGAAGATCAACCTGGACAGACACCACAAAACGAGAGAGAGTCACGCTGCAGTTAGTTATATTGCGGTTGTACGACGAATGGGTCGGCTCGACCGGAGTAGGACCACGCTCTCACAGAATACCAGCGTAAAATAGCAGCTTTATGCTGCTGTGTTTCGTATGGTGAGTGAAGAGAACCGGAGACCCTTTTTACAGTAAACGGGCATACATACCATCCTCACGTGTGACAACGCGTCTGCATATTAATTAGATTTAAAAAAAAATACTTGGTAATTATGCATATTTTCTATTTTGTTACAGAAACGCAAAAATCTAAAGCTAATAATATCTTCGGCGACAATGGATGCCGAGTTTCTGAGGGACTTCTTTAACCTCACTGACAGGAAGGAACGTGATAGAAAAAGCACGTCCGTGATCATGTCTATGCAGGGTCGGACGCATCCTATCGACGTTTTCTATGTTGAAGGTTTGTACTTTTGCCAGTCTCAAGTACTTAATTGGGAATCATTTTTTATACTAATTTATTAATAAAGACTTCGCAATATATATATATATATATATATATATATATATATATATATATATATATATATAATCATTTATATACGCATCATGCGTCACTTTTTTTTCGTATTTGAGACATGAAATTGAACGTTAACGGGCAACGGATGCTATCGCGTTTTATTTCAACTTTTTAATTCCTGATGTTTCGGGAGCCTTACAGCAACAGCACCCATGGTTGCGGGGGGGGGGGGGGGGTCTGTTATTGTAACTAATTATAAGCCAGTGCTTGACCAATATAAGTACTATGCAATACAATAGCCTTAACAAGCATAATACCACTGGGTGATAGGTGGTGATGAAGTAGGAGATAGTAACTTAGTGCAAGTTACCATCTCAGACATAGCGTTACTAAAGCCTATTAATAATTGATAAAAACTTTAAACTAAAAAAATTAATATAAACTGCCTCGTTGGTCTAGTGGTTGTAGTAGTGCGACTGCTGATCATGAGGTCCTGGGTTCGAATCCCGGGTCGGGCCAAAAAATCAATTATTGAGTTTTTCTGTCAAGAAATTCTTAGTAGTTACCCAGAGTCAGGAAGTTGGCGGTGTCTCACCCCCGTGCCTCGGAAAGCACGTAAAGCCGTTGGTCCTGCACCTGATCTCTCTCCGTTCGTGTCGGTTTACCGTCCCATCGGAATATGAGAGTGTGGGAATAAAGAGTGCTCCTGTGCTTGCGCATACACTTGGGCACTATAATCCTATCCTGCGCCGATGACTAGCCTCCGTTGAGGCAGGCCGCCGTGGCCGAAATTCGGTCTGGAGGACATTAAAGCCTATTCATTGTTACCAGGCACCCAGTTTATTCCACTCCTTTGCTGTACCCATAAAGAAAGGCGAAGCAAAGCATTTGGTTCGTTCTTTATAGATATTTATATAGAACTAGCTGATACACTCGCGTCGCTGGGCGCACGATAAAGATAATATTTTACTGCGCAACCTATATGTAAAATATCAAGAATTTTTTTGATGGGACTATCGTAAAATCCGTTCTTAGTGAGCGTTTACATTGCGAAATGAGTAACTACACTTAATTACAAGTCAATCGGATGTATAGTTTTAGAGATATTGTTATGAGTCAGTTAGTGGTATTTCGCTTATATAGAAAAGGGTGACAAGCGAGCACGCAGTCCACCTGAAGGTAAGTGGATGAATTAAAATTTGAATATGTCGGGATTTTAGGTTGGTTATCGGAAGAAATAAATATTAAAAAAAGAGTAAAATAAAAAGTTTATTTTTTAAATTAATAGGCTAGAAAAAGAACATCGTTGACACATAACTAAGTACCCTTAATGATTTCTTAAATTTACGCGAACACTACACATTTAAAAAACTGTATATTATACGGATTTTATCGCGTTTAATTAACTTATTTTTAATTCACGACGTTTCGGGTGCCTTACAGCATCTATGGTTACGGGGGACAGATATTTGACGTCCCAATGTTAGCCCGGTTACCTTCAGTTTTTGAATATTAATTTTTGGTTCGATCTACGCAGAACGAGCTTACAGTTACCTGAAGTCTTGCGGTGGTATAGTTGGGTTTGGATTTAATTTTGTTAATTATTGGATCCCAAGCGGATGGCAGCACCCGTCCATCACGTCAGCTATATGTTCTGAAGCAACGATGCTCAGGGACGTCTGCAGTCTGAACATGATCAACATTGTTACCACCATTACATCAGATTTGATAAACCTCAAATCTTCGCAAAAGAACACTGATTCCTACCAAGGATGATACGCGAGGCTATTGAAAAAAAAAACATCCTTATTTCAATAGAGAAGCCATCTCTGCTGTCATCTCCTGGGGATCCTATAATACCAAGCATACCACTGCAAGACTTCAGGATACTGTAAGCTCGTTCTGCATAGATCGGCACAAAAATTAATATTAAAAAACTGAAGGTAGCCGGGCTAACTGTGACATTGGGACGTCAAACATCTCAGCCCCCCCCCCCGTGACCATCGGTGCTGTAAAGCACCCGAAACGTCGGAATTTAAAAATAAGTTAACATAAGTTAATTAAACGCGATAAAATCCGTAAATATAGTTTTATTCAACTAAGTAACCTTGTTTTGGTTTTTTTCTAAAAGAATATTAACAATGCTATAAACATTACTAATATTCCCCTTAACCACTCGTGGTAAGCTTAAATTGCTTGTGTTACGAGTGGTTCACGCCAGTAATCCAATAGCGGATTCGAACCCACGACCTTTTTGAGTTCGCGTTACGCGCCCTGCCATTAGGTTCCCGTCGCTTTTTTTAATGGTTGTCACATGTATTTAGCATTGGACTGTACTGAGTCCACCAATATAGATCTTTTACTAGTATTCAGTAAAGATTTTAAATTCAAACAATGCACTTCAAAGTTCAGTCTAATTACAGCTTTTATTAAATCAAGGGCAGCTGTGATGTGAAGAGAAGCTGTTTGTCTGGAGATTTTGAGTTTCATCGGGAGTCTGGAGATCATTTAAAATGTTGGGAGAATCCAGACGAATCCTGACTATCTGGCAACCCTAGCTGTGACGCAGACATTTACATACTACGGGTATGTTCCAAAACGTTTTCAGTATACTGCCGAATACAAATGACGTCATCAATTGACACTATATTGTACTGGCGTGCCGCCGCCATATTGCGTCGGATATCCGGCCACAATAAAACAATTTTTAATTGTGTGTGCGCTGAATGAAGCATGCCAGAATTTGTTTTTATTTATTCAGATACAAAAAATTATAGAATAATTCGGTATCTCCATTAGGAGAATATAATGATTTTTGAAGCACTAAATGACAAAATAATCGCCGACACTTTTCCAATATGGTGCAAATGTATGACGTCATATACTGTCCTATGTTTTGGAACGAATCACCAGTATAGCGTCGATTCATGACGTCATTTGCATTGGACAGTACACTGGGTTCTATTTTGGAACGCACCCTACATCTATCCTCGATTAAGAATCAAAATTTATATTCATTGGAGGACATTCAAGGACCAAGATGGAATGCATCATTTTCAGAAAAAAAGGTCTCCGGTTCTCTACACTCACTATACGAAACCAAGCGACATTGAGCTGTTTCACGCTAGTATTCTGCGCGTAGACTAGACCTTCCCCGGACGAGCCGACCTCGCTGCAGCCACAATATAGCTGGTAGCATGGCTCTACCACGTAATAAATTGTGTCTATTTACTGCAAAATTTAATTGAATTTCCGATTTTCAACCGACTTCAAAAAACAGGAGGTTCTCAATTCAACTGTATTTTTTATGTGTTACCTCTGAACTTTTTTCTAATTCGGTTCAATTATTTTTTATTTGAAAGCTGGTGCTTCTCATGTGGTCCCATATAAATATGATCAAAATCAGACGAGGAGTTTTTGAGTTATCCTTAATAATGCGTATTTAATTGACTTCGAATACATTGATGATGTTGTCATTTTATTTATATTAAAGTCGGTTGTACAAAACTTTTGATTTTACTATTTGTTCTCTCTCGGACTTTCTCTTGGACCCGGACCATGCTAATTTGATTTTATCAACTTTAACATGACGAACTTTATACATTTCAGAGCCAGTGCCGGATTACGTGAAGTCCACAGTAGATACTGTAATTAAAATACATGAGAATGAACCCTTTGGCGATATTCTGGCCTTCCTCACGTCACAGGTGAGTCGTCTTTTAGAATGCTTCTTTTGTGGGCTTCGAAGGAAAGTACCCCACCGGGAAATAATATCTAAATAATGTGTAAACAATATCTAATAACAATAATATCCCACGTTCAACGTGTATTACGAAGATTTTGTATAGGTTCGCATATTATAATAATAAAATACTTTTTTTTACTACCTCGTTGGTCTAGTGGTCTTAAACACAATTGTTGATCATGTGGTCCCGAGTTCGAATCCCGGTTCGGACAAAAATTCAATTATTGGGTTATTTCTGTCGAGAAACTGTCTTGTTGAGGGAAAAGCCCGTTCAACTTCATGACTTTCAAAAACTATTCAATTGCTACAATTTCAGTTTCAAGCATCACATTAATATATTTCTTCTGTCTTTCAATCAATATAAATATAAATTAAAACCACTATAATTTTGTACATACTTTACATCAGAAGTAGTTTGTTTTCAATCTCCAATAAATCTTATTTATATAACATACAATATTAAATAATACTAAAAGTAAAAATATAAATTGTCATACAGTCCTAGTCTGGTATCGTGCCAAGAACGCTGGCTACGTTTCCTCGCTGAATGGCTATACTTAGCCTTTAAGCAAAAAAAGAACCAGCCTGCTTATCACCAGCAGCGACGACTAGTCGCGAATACAGTTCGTTTAGCGACTTCACTTCACGTGGATCTCAAGGACCTATCAGAAATCCATATTTGCGCTACTTACTTAGTTCAGCTGCCTCTAATCACAGAATAAATAATAGTACTACGTACAGAAGTTTCACTCTTTTGTTGTTGACTGCTTGCCGACGTTTAATAGCCTACATAATTATTATTAATAAGATAAATTGTGCACGCAAGCTAAATAAGCCTTTATCGCTGCGCGCGAGTGTCCGTATTACTTTGCATCTTTTCCCGTTCCCACATCACGGCTGTTTTTCCGTGGTTACTCAGGACTGTCAACAATATATTAAAAATATATTAAAAACACATGTAAGTAGGTACTTATTAAGCTCACAATATGTATTAATATATGCTCATTTATCTTATGCACACTTCTATTTACGGATCTCCTTCTAACTAAATGAAATGTATTAATTTATATATTTATAAAATATTATTGTAAATGATTGTATCCTAATTAGTAAAATCTTGTAAATAAAGTTTTAATTTCAGTGCTTTGTGATAACTTAAAATATTTTAATGACAAAAGACATGTAAGTTACCTACTTCAATTTACCTACGTAAATTTCGTAAGTTAACTACGTGAATTTCAACTAAGTATTGTAATAAAGTACTTAGGTATTACTTCTGTATTTAAATTATTACGTATTTCTTTTGCTATAAGTATTTATTTAACAATAAATGATATATCTGAATCCTTTTGTTTACTCATTATGCATCCATCCACGCAACAATTATAGTAGGTTCGAAGTTTTGCCATTATAATTTATCAAATAGATAGAGATTATACACATATATTATTTTTAAATCACATTAATTTTTTTAACTATTTTATCCTACAATTAAATACTAAACACTAAACAAAAATTACAACAAGTGTTTACAAAAAACTATTTACGTAAACAGCGTTAAAAATACATCAATCGCCTAGAACGCGCTAGCCCCGACTGCGTATTACACCCTGGGTGAATCGCGATTTTAGGTAATGATTTCACACAGAGCGGCAAGAGTGACAGAGGCCTGCTTTAATGCCGTCCCGGCTCTAAATGAAAAAAAAAAACGTAATTAAAAAAACTTAATATAATATCCAATTATATCAAGTTTTTAACTAAGCAAAATATAACCTCGCTTCTTACAAAACATTCGAAAAACCTGAACGAATATCTATACAACACATACTATACGTACTGCGCGCCTATGCAGTAGAGTTGAATATTTTTTGGCAAATGTTACTACGAACACAATCGCTATGAAGCTCGCTCGTCCTCGTGAATTTCGGGAACTGTAGCGTACGTGTGGGTAATATGGTCATCCGGTTAATATAGGCACTTTCTTATATCTCAAAAACTGCAGCCTTTTTTACACAACTTTGTGATACGACAGCTCTTCATCAGTCAATCAACAAATAAAAGGTCAAAAGGGCGCTGCTTTATCGACGCCATTTTGACAGATGACATAGTAAATATGGCCGTAAAATGTTTTTTTTATGTTGACTTTTCGAAGTGTTCCTAATTATAGCCAAAGCTTGTTTGCTAATTTTTTCTAAATATATTAGTTATAGTATACGACTTTGTTTTTTTATGTCTATGCTGCTCCTATTTTTGGTTTTATAGGGCTGGCAAAGCTTAAGGTGACCTTATTTTGTTTGAGTTAAGGTACGTGAGGGTTCACATATCTTACTTAAAAATATGTCCTTTTCCAGGAAGAAATCCTTACAGCCTTAGAGACTCTACAAACCTACGCGGAACAGTGTAACGATCAGAATAAGTTCAGGAAGCATTTCCCGAGCGGGATGCAGGCAGCGAATATGTCGGTGTTGCCAATGTATGGGAGTTTACCGTACTACAAGCAGATCAAAGTGTTTCAGATGGGCGAGAGAAACGTTAGGAAAGTCATACTCGCCACTAATATAGCAGAGACCAGTGTGACCGTAGCTGGGATTGTTTATGGTAAGTTGTTGTTATTGGTTTAAAGCAGTGGTCCTTAACCTTTTAATGATGAGGGACCATTTGACCAATTTATGGCTTATTGTATACCATCAACTTTTAAATATAATATAAATTATAGTATGGTTGTAAGTTTTTCTGTAAATAAAATACACCATAATGCTTATATATGTCACATCATTGTGCGCCCCTTCTACAGTCTACCTTTGCGACATCTATCTTCGATTACGAATTAAAATACAAATGCGTTGTCACCCGCATGGACTAAGATGGAATGCCTTGTTTCCAGTAAAAAGAGTCTCCGGTATTCTACTTTCATTATACGGAACACAGCAGCGTTAATTTGCTGTTTTACGCTGATATTCTGCGAGAGCGTGGTCCCTCTCCGGTCGAGTCAACCCATTCGTACTTTGTAGTATTCGTTCGCAAACCGCGAATTTGAGAGAATTGTATGATGCCTTCGCAGACCACTTCGAATGCTTTAAGGGACCACGACCACGCGAACTCAAAGGTCATAGGTTCGAATCTGCCTTACTACTACTACTGTCGTGAACCACTCCTAACACAAGCATTTTAAGCTTACCAGGATTGTTGAAAGGGAATATCATTTAAGAAAAAAATATCTTATAACTGAGTTGAGTAGGTGCAAATACCATGCCATTAAAACATGAACAACCGTTTCTAAAATTTAGTCAGTCTGTTATAAAACTTCATAAACAGATAGGCAGCAATGTCAAACGTAATATAGGCTATATGATATCCAAAAAAAAATTGGAGGAATTAAAACAATTGGTAAAATTAAATATTTTATAAAACCGACGTCAATATACTTAAAATGAGAACATAACCAATGTATTCAAAGTCAATTAAATACACATTATTAAAGGTAACTCAAAAACTGATTAGATCTTGATTAAATGTATTTGGGAGCACACGAAAACACCAGCTTTCAAATAAACTTCAAAAGCGGTTAACACAGAAAAAAGTTCTGAGGTAACACACATTATAAAAAGCATACGGTCTAATTTGACCTTCTCTTTTTTGAAGTTGGTAAAAAAATAAATTAATGAAATAAATGATTTTTGATTATCCTACCCAGGCGAAGCCAGATCAAATCGCTAGAGCCCTAGTCTATACAGATAAATAAAATTGCAACCATTTTTACTTGGAAACGAGGCATTCCATCTTAGTTCTTTAGGGCGACAACACATCTGCGTTTTGATTCTAAATCGAGGACAGATGTAGATGTCTATGGGGCACACCATCCACTAACCATCATGTGACAACAAAAAAAGACACAGTGACAGAGGCAGAGTTACGTATATTGTCTATATACCGGGTCATTTTTGAAAGGGTATCCAAATTTTATATTTATGTTCAAATACAAGTGATATACCGTTATTGCAGTTTTCGAAAATACGAGTAACTTCTACTTTTATTTGAAATTATCCCAAATTTATTGTGATTCATGGGCAACAACTACGGCACACGCGATCCTCTATGTGCGATTCAATTCACAACGTGTTTCGTTTTTCAACGCCGGCCGAGAGACCCTGCGGAATGAATAGTTGGCGTTAGATATTTATGTGTGACAATCAGTCAAAATAATACGTAATGCATCATAAATGCACGTATTCTGAATTTAAATGATAAAAAGAACAGAATGTTCGACATTTTTTTTAAACGAATTTTGCTTCCCCATTCACCTACATTACTTCTTTGAACCTTCTCCACAAATGTGTGCGTATATTGTAAAAATAACCTAGTATAACTCTATGTTGTACCTATAAACTATAAAAATAGGTAACAAAATATTATTTTGTTTTATTTATTGCATTTCAAGTGATTGACTGCGGTTTCCACAAGCTGCCGTACTTCGATCCATCGATAGGCGTGGAGTCTATTTGCGTAGCGCCGATATCCAAAAACAACGCGACACAACGGGCGGGCAGAGCTGGCAGAACTGCTCGAGGCAAGTGCTATAGGTGAGTACATTAAAAAAAACTGTACACAGTTCACCTGATGGTAAGTAGTTGATGAGATCCATGGACATCTACATCTATCCTCGATTAAGAATCAATTTGCAGATGCGTTGTGACCGCTGAGGACTATAGAGATAGAGTGCCTCGTTTCCAGTAAAAAGGGTCTTCGGTTCTCTACACTCACCTCACACTGTGAGAGCGTGGTCCTTCCCCGGTAGAGCCGACCCATTCGTGCTACAACCATAATATAGCAGGAGCGTGGCTCTACCACGTGATAAGTTACAGCTTACACGTATCCTACTGCTGTGCAAAGATCTCATTTCTAAGAGGGTTTTAGGACAAGAAAGTATCCACTGCTCTGTCTCAATGCATGATAGTAGATTTCGCATGTCTTTGAAAGTACCATTATATTTTAAGCCTATCTAAAGTCTATTACTGCCTCGCTCGTAGATTGCATCATAGAGGGATTTCGCCATAGTTGCCACGCTTAGCAGTGGTATGGGCAATCGCAGTTTTTTAGATTTAGTCGTTGCAAAGAGGACGTTGCTGCTCATCTCCTGGTTTCTTCCCCTCTGTCCCCTCTCACAACACCCACGGAACGATATGGTGCAGTGGATATTCTTACAGCGCAACATTTTTTTTATAGAATAATAATAATAATAATAATTTAATAATAATTTAATAATAATTTATTTTATTTTGATAAAATGTACAAATTATTCCAATAAGTCTTAACTTAAAAATAGTCTACAATAACAGGCACCTGAACTAGGATAAACCTGTATCTCAGGTGTATGTGCTAAAAGATACATTAACAAATATTTTCTGTTTCTTATATAAAATGAATAACGTACTAACTAATAAGGGTTATTTGGGTAAAATATATTATCATTAATTTACTTATGATATTAATTAACTTAAAACAATCAACAACTTCTCCGTATCATCGTATGACAAATTTTGTAACCATGTTCGAATTACCTTTTTTACAGTCTGCCATTTTTAATGGATATATATACAAAATTGCATTGAATTGATTATACAAAAAAGGGTCGAGGAATGTAAAAAATCTATGCATGAAATAATGCCTTATTCTAATGTTAGTTTCAATTACTTTATCTTTGCGCCTTTTATCAGTGACCTCTCTTCTATAAGGCAATCTTAAGTGCTGTTTTAGTAACATGCTCATAACAAATAACTGGCGCACTGAGAGGACATTATAGGATTTGTATAAGAGATGGGATGGAAATAGAATAGGGCGGAATGTTGCAACTTTTAATACAGCTCTTTGAGCGCGTTCCAGTGGTAGTAGTGTAGTTTAAGCTGCTCCACCCCAAGAGGTTATACAATAGGTGAGTATTGACTGACATAATGCGTAATATACTTGTTTTACTACCTTATTATCAGCAAAAGAACGAATTTTTTTAAAAACAAACATTAGTTTACGAACTCTATTGCATAGGTGGTTTATGTGGTTTTTAAATGTAAACGTAGAATCTATAATTATTCCAAGGTACTTAACAGTTTTTGTATTAGAAATAACTGGGCAGTAACATTTAGACTCTGTGACTGAGTAACATTGATGTGCATAAAGTTCTGGAATGGTTATATGCTGGGTTGAGCTGCGCATAGAAAAATGAATACAGTTTTGTCGCATTCAGTGTTAATATGTTTTGTTGGAGCCATTTATTAACTCTATCAAAACCTTGCTGAGCATATGAATAAACCTTGTCAACTGTATTTGCGGAAAAAAGTAGCACGGTATCATCTGCGTAAGATATTATTTTACCTGAGTTAAGTTCAAGATTGCAAAGGTCATTTATATAAATCAAAAATAGGGTTGGCCCTAATACACTTCCTTGAGGCACGCCAAAATGAGTACTTTTTTGTTCAGAGCTAACAACCTTATCGATTTTTATGCATTGATATCGATTTTCTAAATAATTCTTAAAAAGTTGAAGCTGCTTACCTCGAATGCCTATGCTCTCTAACTTATTTAATAGGGTAGGAATAGAAACCGTATCAAATGCTTTTGCAAGGTCAAGGAAAATGCCAATTGACTGGTTGCCTTTATCTAATTCTTGAGAGACATAATCGGTCATTTCCTGCACAGCATCAGCAGTGGACATTTTAGGCCTGAAACCATATTGCATATTCGATAATATGGATTTACTTTGTAAATAATTCATTAATCTGTTGTTAATTAATTTTTCTAATATTTTAGACGTGGATGAGAGTATTGAGATAGGCCGATAATTGGAAACGTTTTTTTTGTCCCCCCGATTTGAATACTGGAACTACAATTGCTTTTTTTAAACAATCTGGGAAAATTCCTTCAGAGAGACAAATTCTGAAAATATGGGTTAATGGTGGTACTAGAATTTGTCTATATTTTTTTAATATACTAGTGGGTAATCCGTCCCATCCAACCGCGCTTGTTTCTTTCAGTCCCATTATAATCCTTTCCACTTCACTAGGGTCCGTATCTAATAATGTGAACGAGCTTAATTGGCAGGTTTTTTGAGTTAATAAAGTGGCCCTGTATTCACAATTATTGTTAGAGTTGTTTGTTATCTGCTCAGCCAGATTTTTACCAACGTTCACAAAGTAATTATTTACTGTATTTGCTGATATAAGCGGCGAGGCATTATTTTGTAATAATTCTGACGAAGATTCATGCTGTTTGGAAATAAATGCAATATCTTTTACATGCCGCCAAATCTTTTTATTATCTCTACCAGACTCTTCTAGTAAGTTTGTAAGATAATTATACTTCAACTTTTTTAATAAATTGTTACAAAAATTCCTATATCTTTTATATGAAATTTGTAAAATGGAATTATCTGAAGAGGTCTTTGCCATCAGGTGTAGTTTGTCCCTGTGTTTCATGCACCTAATCAGGCCAGGTGTAATCCAAGGCTTTAAGTTATTATTTTTTTTAGCTACTGTTCTATACGAAGTATTGCTAGCAATGGCATTTCGTATGTTATTTATTAAGTAAGGCAAAGAGATGTTTACGTCATCGGTTTTATAAACTGGGCTAAAGTCAATGTTTTGAATTGCTTGTTCAAGGTTTTTCGTATTAATTTTAGTAATAGAGTACTTACAATTAGGTTTCGATATTTTAAGGCTTAAGTTAAGAATGACGGCACTATGATCGGATACTATAGGACTGGTGACAAGGGTTATTGATGGTAACCTAGGTTTTAGTAAAGTGTGGTCTAAACAAGAACCACTTAGATGTGTAGGGAGCAAATGTGCTGGAAGCAGGCCCTGGCATGCACATATATTAAGGTAGTCTTTTGCTCCGCCTTCACTGCCTTCTGGGTTAATATCAATATTCATATCACCCGTTAACACTATATTTTTGAACGACGACAGTTTCCTAAGTGTAATGTCTAATGACGTGATAAAATTGTCTATTTGCTTAAAACCACACGGTCTGTAAACAGCAAGGATAGCAGTTTCATGACCCACTTTCACCAATAACCTGCTACAATCTAGCATATTAGGCTCCTCGACTGATATGTTCGTATTTTTTTTTTCGCAAAGACTACAACACCGTCATTTTGGTTATATACATTTTTACTACTAAAAGTATTGTAACCTGGCAGTAATGGGAGGTTGCTTTGGCTTTTAGATAGCCAACATTCTGTTAGTATGATGATGTCGCAGTCAGTGTCCAATCTTTGAAGGAGGATATGGAAATTATCCATGTTTTTATTTATACTACGAATGTTCTGTGTTAAAATAGTAAGAGAGTTCGCAGGTTTGAAGAGATATTCTTTGCACATATCAATTTCACATGTTTTTGCCACTGATAAACTGACAGCATCGATTTCATTACTTAACTTATCCATATTATTCAACAGAAATAATAACAATATTTAAAAAATATATATATAAACTAAACTTAAACTTATTAGTAACTTACAAATTAGGGCAAAAAGAATTAAGGTAAAAGGCGGCGCTCTTAGGCGCCCTCATTATAATCTATGGAATTAATATACCTATTTTCAGCCATTTTCCTAGCCGGGCATTCGGGGTCACCTGTTTTATGGTCGCTCGGTTTTTTAAAACGCAGGCACGTTGCACACTTTGCTGGATCACTTTTCTTAATGCAAGCATTTGACTGATGTCCTAATTCACCACAATGTCCACACGTGTCGATTGTTTCCCGGCAAGTTCTTGCAGCGTGTCCATACTGTTGGCATTTGAAGCACCTGGTCACAAGTGTGAAGTCTCGAACTGGGCACGACGTCCAATTTATGAAGACTCGCTCCTGGTTGATAAGTGCCTTTCTGATGCCAGCTGGCACTTCCAAAATAAAGTTGCATGAAAGTGCTTGTTTTTTACCCGATTTATGACTTAGTTTTATAGAGGACAAAAAAGATTCCCGCGTTAAGTTAGGGATCTTATCGGCTAAATTTTGTTCAAAAATGCAGTCAAAGACTTCTCGTTCGCTAAGGGCGGTAGGTATTCCTAAGACTATAATCCTTGGTCTTCTTTTATGGGGCTCTTCCACCTTTAGTCCGGAACTACCAAGCTGGGTAGATTTTTTTAACTTCTCAATGTCCTCCTTTGAATCAGTGTTGATAATAACGCCTCCATTTTTAGTTTTTCGTAGTCCTCTTACGTGTAGTTTCAATTGTTCGGGGCATATAATTTTCTGGACAAGAGATTTTGTGTCTTCACTTGTTTTTAATTTATTTTCAGGGTAAATTGCTATGGAACTGAAAGTATTGGGGCGCAAGTAATTATTTTTGGTAGTTTTGACCATATCAGCAAAGGACATTTTTTCTGTAGATGGTTTTGCAGCTTTCTTGAATCGTTTCCTTGAGAGATTTTCTAAAATCATTTAGGCATTCCATTAGGTCTTGTTTTTCTCTCAGTGCTTCAAGATAGGTGTGCATTAAAATAGCCTGTTGCTTCAAAGATTGGTAGTAAACTGCCATCTGAGAGGCTGCATTACCGACCTTGCGCGAAGGGAATTAATTCTCAGC